CATCTTTAATGAGAAGATTATTCAAAGGGTTCGCTGTTATGACAAAACGCGGAATAGATCTTCGATAATAGGATGCGACTTTTAGGAATTATTTGAATCTTGGAGGTCAGCATTGTGCGCTAGATGTAACAGCGACTTGATTTTTGAGAGCGCCTAGCAAAAATATAAGTATTTATGTAGGGCCTAAGTTTACTGCAGATTTTAATTTTGAGCTAGCTAATGCGAACAAGTCCATAGTCTGATAGATTTAAAACTAAAGAAAATGAATACTTTTCGAAAATCTCGATTCTCGGATCTCGGGTCTCGGTTCTCGGTTCTCGGATCTCGGGTCTCGGAATTTCACGGATGCTAATTACGAAGAAAAATATGAGAGAAAAAAATACAGTTTCAAAAATTTTTTGGTTGCAAAATGAAAGAGAAAAAAATAATGGGAATAAATTTGATACTTCAAATAAATCACGTTTACGAAAATAAACTAGAATCTCGGTTCTCGGATCTCGGGTCTCGGGTCTCGGTTCTCGGTTCTCGGTTCTCGGATCTCGGTTCTCGGATTGATTAATTTTATGTATAATAAATCTAGATTTGGGAAAATTTATATCGACGTTTGGGACTGTTCGCAGGACTTTTTTTTTAAATATTATAATTGTGTTTGTACATATTTTTTTTCTGAAAAGATTGCGTGTGCATAAAAAAATTAGGCGGAAATGCGGTCTGATGACATCTTAAGTGAGATAGCGCATTTATCTTGCAAACTTGTTTTTGTTTTGCAAGCAAGTTGCTAAGTGTTGCCGGTTTTCCAAGCGCACCGTTAGGGAACTCATTCTCGAATGGCTGATTTAAACTAAAGTAGAAAACTACACTTGCTTACTTTTTTCTGTCAATATCTAGGAAATTTGAGAGTAATCTTTACAAAAGAAAAAAACACACTTGCGTGGGAAAAGTTTCAGTTTTGCAAATTCTAAAAAAAATAATCTCAGTAGATACAACTCAAAAATCTCCTCAGATGTTGTGTTTAGCTTCTTCTCGTGTTTCTCTAACAAAATCCTGACCTTCACCTGTTGTTACATGTATTTTCTTGATCAGGGCTTTCCGAACTAGTTGTATGAAATCCATGCTTTTCCACGAGCAAAAATAGCCATAAAGCGACATCTTTTTACGTTTCATGTTGTTTTCTCATCAAATATCATGAAATGTATTACGAAACTGCTTCACTTATCACCGTTGTGCTTGAAAACGATGCTTTTGACTCTACTTCTCATGCAGTGGAACAAATCAGAGTTAAATGACACGAAAAAATATTTTTTCTAATTTATTTCAATACCGAGATTATGCCTGTTGATTTGTATTTATTGCATTGGGTTTGCAAAATGTAATAACGTATTTTGAATTAGGAGTTAAATTATAAATTGGAAATGATTTACAATTAGGCAGCAAAATGGATCGACTGTTTTTGGGAGAAAAAATCGATGATTGCATACAATTTTTTTGAGGCATCCGAACTGATTTGCACATTCCGCAGATAGCCAAATGACATTAGCGAAAGGTTTGATAGCCTATACGTTTTCAGGTGAGTGGGGATGAAGTTCTTTGTGTATTCAATCTGTTTTTTTTTTCGTGATTTTCCTATCAGAATAGCTCAGCACGCAGAATCCCAAATCTACTTTTTCAGTGGTCGGATAAGACTAACTGGTATCACAGAAAAAAAACGTGAGAAAAACACTTTCAAGAGCACATTTATCTGAAACATTTTCTAATGTCAAGAAATCTGAAATGAGTACTTTAAGACTTTTGCCTTGAAAATTGATGTTGCTGTTCACCGCGGAGCAATCAGATGATTTATTGAGGAGTATTCTGTTTGAGAAATTCTGTTACAGCCATTCTTTTACTCAAACTTATGAGGCATCTTGGAAAATCGCATATTTAATTTTGTGTGAGCGCATGATCCTTAAGTTCAAAAGACGAGTAACCGCTTAATCTTTTTTTTTGTACAGTGAGCACTGAACTAGCTGTCTCTTATGATTGAGGTAGACGTGGTAGAAAGTGATGCACCGAAAAAGCATGTAGTTATCATTTTGATAATCAGGATTAGCAGTGCAGTTACGAAAACTGGTTCTCACTGAAGAAAATCACAATATCAAAAATAAAGATCTACTGCTTTAAATCTTTTGATGGGCGAAAATTGATTTTTCCAACAAGCGTTCGAACTGACATGTAGAAAATGCTCCATCTAATTGTATCCATGCGGATAATGAGGGGTCTTAGGACGGGAAGAGGCATAAAACATGCTCTAACAGCGATGTTTCAAATGTATGAGCATTTAATATCCTTTGTTTCCATCAAAGTCGTATCTTTGTTAGAGGACAATTCAACTCTAACGCAGCAATCCATGTCTGTAAAAGCGCATTTTGAGCAAATAAGCGACTTGCTTTCGAATCGAAAATGTTTGAAGTTGTGCTTCTAACGAATATAAGCAACATTTACATACGTCAATCCCGTTTACTTGACATCATGTTCTGTCACAACAGATTAAAGTTTTTCTAGGATTAATCTGCAAAGTTCTCTATAGATCTGTACTAGACCTATCGTTGACAAAAGTTGGGAAAATTAGAAAAATTTTGACTGAAAATATGAAATTATTTTGGAATTATGCTTGAGATTGTTTTTTGATTTAGAATATTTTTTTTTCGATGAAAACTGTTTCCAAGTTTTGAAAAGGTTAATAAGATCAGTGGTGCTTAGGGTTTTGAAATAGAAGGAAATTTCACTAGCAGTTACCAAAATACGAGTTGTCGGAGGAATAAAAAAAACTGTCTTGCAGTACAATGGGAAAATATTTTGCTTGTTTCTAGAAGGAAATTTTTTTTGATTCAGCCAAAATCTGGATTTGCTAATTACCCTTATCGCTTGTACGGTCTCAATCCAATTGAGCTCGCCGATGAATGAGATGCTGCACGGCTGTCGCTGTTGATGCACAATTTCTCGGCATCGGAAGATAGCTGTACGCGCCGTAAATCAAGTGTGTGTAAGGGTCATCCGAATATTCAACAGGCGCATAGCGATATTTGTCACGACCCTAGAGCAGTTGCTAGATTCTACAGTTGTCACCAAATTGATTGCTATTTTGAATGCGCGCAGACAGTTGCTAGAACGGATTGGCATAAAGGATTTGGAGCTCTTGGCCATGTGTAATAGCCAGGTGTGTGGCACGTCGGCAGATGCTATCTTTCCTGACGAATTGTATTGCAGATTTTGTACTGTAGCTACGATTGCGAGCAAGTCCAAGTCCAAAAATAAAAGGAACTGCAGCAACTCGCAATACCCTAAAACTTACAGTACCGTCATGCGAAAACATTCTAAAGGAAAATATAAACCAGCGCAAAAATTCGGATGTGTTACATACAAGTGAATATACTAGAAATTCTAAAGAAAAAGTGATTTTTTTTTTGCTATTTTGAATTTATTTCTACCCGAAGATTCTGAAGAAAAAAAATTTGGCTCGGTTATGGCTACGTAAACTTATTGAAAAATCTATCCCGTCTTTTCATGCTTAGTATATTGCATACTGTCAACGATTATTTTTTTTACGCATGGCTGCTTGATACGCGGTTGCGGCTACGCAACTGCTGAATCATTCTCTCATGGTAAGATAGAGCTAATGCATTATTACTCAAAAAGTTGGGGACAAATGGGACTGCTCGTTAAACTATAGCGGATGCATCTCTGAGATAATTCAATCAAAGATCATCAGTACATTTAGTGATATAGTCACTTTGAGATAATTCAATCAAAGACCATCACTACATTTGGTGAATAAAATTTTTTTTAATTCAAAAAATAAAATTTTTTTTCTGAAATGTTAGTTTTTCTTCAATGAAAAGAATATTTTTTCACACACAGCACACTATTAGTCATCATTATTATCAAATAAATATAGAAACACTCACTCATTCGTTCGCTGTGACTTGGATGGAAGTTGTTGTCGATATGGACGTGGAGGGGTGGATGAATTCTATTTTTGTAGAAAAAAAATTTTTTTTGACTACTGCTCAAAAGAAAAAAATCTTCCCGGGACTTCCATGTCAGGTATAAGGGTTAGCTAGTCCCTTAGCCTGATGTGTAGCGGGTTTACATAAGCTTACTATAATGTTTATTATAAATAGTTATATACAAAAGGGGGAAAAGGGGAAAGGGGAAGAGGGCACCGGCTCCTGCCGGCGGGCGGGGGTCACTGCCAGAGGTTGGATGTCTTCGGCCAGCCTCCTTCTCGAGCAGCTGTTGTAGCTAGCTGCGTCCCGACAAAAGTGACACTGACGAACACCACTGGTGATTGAGTACGGGCTATCTAATTACATGCAAAATGCATGTCTTCCACCCTTTCTCTATACCTAGCAGCTTAGCAGAGTTTGCCGTAAAATTACAAAAAATATACCTACTGCCTTCTCAAAAATGTATCGCAGTAAAGCCGCATTGAACGCTGTTTCCAAAACTGTTCTTGTTATCCACTAAGCGCCTCAGGACTGTGAGCTATGATCGCTTTCTTTTCTGCTTGATAGATAACGCGCAACTGGAACAAAATCGTCCAGGACTCTGGAATGGCTCATTTTGGATATCAGAGCGCACTATCCATAAAATACCCTCTGTCTAATAAACTCATGCACAACATTGCTTTATTTAAGGGCTCAAAAGAACGCAAAAATTAGTTGCTTAGATTTTCCGTTCATTTCGCTTTGGAAAACACTCATGACTCAAAGTAACGGAAGCTTGGCGAAAGGTGATGAAAGCAGGTTTGGAATCAGCGTGTTGCTCTTCAAGGTGTATTTCACGTGAAGCCCAATTCGCCCTTCGGGTCCATCCCTTGTGAGATTTAGAAAAAGAAAATAATGCATATCTGGTTGCTTCCATACCTCATTTGTTCATACTCATCCTAAGTAATGCATAAAATTGTATAAAAAAGAACGCTTTTATCAAAATTTATGACCAATTCACACTATACATGTAACATATGAATAATAAAAATTCGTAATTGAGCTTTTCCTCGTTGGAGCAAGCGCGCTTTGTATGCTGTATAAGTAGATGCATGGCAAGTGAATCGAGCACCGACAAACAGTCGCAAAGTAGAGGAAGAAGAAAATGCAGAAAAAAGCAGAGAAGATAGAAACAAGCGAAAGGGGGAGCAAAATATCAACACGTGTTTGGAATAGAGAGGACAAATTAACAAGATTAAATAGAATGCAGTACATCGTAAGGTATGATCTCGGTCTCTTCGTTTCATCTTAATTCGTCAATAATAAAAATCTAAATAAAGAAAAAACGCGAGCGTCTGGCGCGCGCTATGGTACAGCAGCGAAGAAGAGCAAAAAGGAAACAAAAATGAGAGTAGAAGGAGGTAGAAAAATTAGGTTTGGCAGGTTGACGCGTCGCGTGCGCTGAGTAAAAGATTGTACTACTCGCTAATCGCTAATTTGCTAGTGTCGCGTCAAATCGGACAAAGTGGGCGACATCACCACACGTCCGGTAAACTCGTTCACATGAACACACTGCAGGCTCCACCCCATCACATTACCATTGGCGCTTTTCGTCCAGCTGGATACGGTGGTGGTGGTGGTAGATCCATAACTGCGGCTGGTGGCGGTGGTCGCCATGGATAGCTGAAAACACTATTTATATAAAAATATTTATTCAAAGATTTTGTACTCGAAACGGTGAAGATTTCACTCACGCAATTGGCGCTAAGTTTGCTGTCCTAACGTATGGTGATGGATAATTGTGAACGGCTGAATCGGGGAAATAGTCTCCTCGATGAAGTGGCACGTGGAAATTACCTGAATCTGAATGCTTAGCTTTTTAACTGAATGAAATCAAAAGTCGGCTCTAAGACAATTCTGTGCATTGCAAATTGAGTGACGAACCTGTTGTCATAGGTGGTGCCATGTGGTTCACGTATTCTGAAGTGAGGTCAATGCATGACGACGGTCTTCGCTGATGACTGAGAAGACTATTCGATTCACGTAGAAGTCGATGCATCATTGGGAAGTCACGAAGTCGTTCCGTGCTCAACCCTTCCTTCAAAGACACAAAATGAGGTTGGAGAGAAATTTGTAATTAGGAAACTAGTCTTTTACCTCATCTATAAAGTAGTCGTGGGTAGCCGACGCGGGAGGGAACGCTGGTTGACCGCCGGCAGCTTCCGCAGCCATTGGTCCCATACCGATGGACTGGACCACGCTAGGCTAAACAGTGGACCCTCAATTAAACCGAAGTAAAGAAAGGATGTGGCTAACTCACCTGTAAATGAAGATGATTAAGTTGAGCATTAGCGTTTCGTTGAATGTCGAGAGCTCTCTCGTATGGAGGCGGATCGCGAGTTTTACCTCGAGAAGCTGGTTGTGTGACGCTGGGCAGCACTGTACCGTTTGGAACTTCTTCGTTAGGGCTCTGCAAATCATAAAACGTGCAGAAAAAGATATTCCTCAAGCAATGCAAAAATTTACGGTTCTATATCCGTTGATAACGTGATAGTGAGCGGGCATCGAATGAACCCTATTGATCACTCCGTTTGCGGTCTTCTTTGTAAAGAGACGGCCGCCATTCGCAGCGATTTGCGAGTCGAGCAGCGATACCGCTACGGATGGATGGCCCCATAGCTGCAAGATAGGGAAGTTAATATTGGGTGGGACGATCCGCCATTCTGAGCCGCCTTCGCAAGCAACTGGTCCGGCGGAGGCGGCACAAACTGGCACAAACTGGCGAAGCTTGTTTCCCAACCCTATGTTTCTTAATCAAGTCGAACTATAGTCTGCCCCAATCGGAATCAAGAGCTGTTTGCTAAATTTGCGCGCACGCAGTGCCAGAACATTGCGTATGCATACTGTTGCAAAGACTGAAGAGATGGAAGACAGAACAGGGCAATCCGTAGGCGTGACGCCGCAAAACCTTAGCGACGCGGACTCCCATGCCAAGTTTGGCCTGATTGAGAATGGGGCACACTGTATGAGAAAATACGGTGCCACCACTGGCTTGCTCATGAGCTCCTAATGATTTCATTTTTGCTGCGTTTAGTTATTACGAGGAGCGGCTCGGCGGATCTCGTGATAAAATCTTTTTGCTTATATGGGGTAATCGAGGCGCTGATCCCAAAAATTTGATTTCGAAAGCGCAAATAGGCGGAAAACAGCACTTCCAAAGAGCCTTGATATCGGGACGAGTGGACGTTCCCGCCATGGCTTTAAACGCAAAGTCGTTGCAGGACCCTTGTGGTTACAACATTTTGGCTCGCCCTCTCCAACGGTGGAAGAGAAATCGCAAGCTCATTCGAGCGCGTTTTTGGCGGCAACATCCTGCGCGCTCAAACTTGCTCTATTCTCACTTTTTTGGGGGGGGGGAGTAAGCAACCTATACCACTGAAATCCAAAAAAGTTCAATTTTGCCTTCAGTGATTATTAAGCGCATATTCCGGGGCCCGAGAAATGCTCAAAGGAAAGTCAAAAACTCACATCAGAATCGATTTTCGGCTCGCTTCTTGCTTGTCCAGAAGCGCCTAGCCTCTGTATCTGTTGGTCCGCAGCACACCATCTCAACGCTGGAGCAGTGATGAGGTTTCTAAAATATCAAAAATGCTTTCTACCTAAGATGCCAGCAATAGGGATGAGGTTCGAAAGGGGAAAGAAGGGGAATTTTCTTAAGTGTTGCCTCAAAGAATTTGAAAGGCGCTATAACCAAACATAAGCCTCTGCGTAGTGATTTTTGCAACTACGCCTCCATCTGTTTATACCAAACCTCTAAAAGAAGTCAAAACTCACGACTCATTATCCGTCCTTTCATCGATGTAGCCAGGAGGTGGTTTAATTCCATTTACTCCAGCCGTACGCAGGTCATGAAGCGATATCGATGATTGCTGTGGTAAACATGAGCGCAGCGTCGAGTCGGCATCTTCGGAGTGAGCACAGCCCTGTGAAATATTTACTCGTTCACTCATTGATTTATTCACTCAGTCATTCATTCATTCACTCATTTACTCATTTGAAGAGTCGTATCACCCGTTCATTCAAATATATGAATTGGGCTGCTGCATGATTCTTGCACCAAAATTTTTAATTTTCCTTAGTTTCTTCAACTTTAATGAAATGTTATGATTTAATCCACGTGGAAGAAAAATCTTGCGCATTCCGAATGTGCTTAAATTTAGAACCCTTGACAGCATACAGCAAAGACGTAAGCTGATTGAAAAAAATACTCAAAAACATTTTTTTGGATTTTGGTCTTCAAAATTGCTAAAAGGTCCACTGAGATTTTAAATTTAGTTTTTAATCTCGGTTTTATTACTAAAACGAGTTCGTAGTGGTTTGGATGTCTCCAAATAGTTATGAAATTCGATTTTTAGTCGTCTTACTGTTAACTGATCTTCTAAAATATACTTTAAAGATACCACTTTTGATCGTAACAATGTGCATATTGCATAATGATTAGTTTGTTTTTGCTTTTATAAAATGTGTTTTTCGTGCAAGAATCTGCATCAACTTAACATATACATACATTCAATCTTTCTTCCTTTCATTCATTCATTCACTCCTTCAATCAATTAATCATTCGTTCATTCATACACTCATTTTCCATAAACAATTCTTGTTCAACGTATTCTGACTTCAAAACAGAAACGCATTTTTTTCGTGAAATATATATTCACTGAGGTTTACCTGGTCGTGGTGATAGCTGTGGAGCATACTCTCCGGAAGCATTTCGTTAGAATGTTGCACGGAATCGCTTCGAGAACCGCCAGAAGATGAGTACTGTAGCTCACCCTTAAACATCATAAAATTTTTGAATAGAGGACATACTCAGACTATGCAGTTTGATGTAATCACTCAAAAAAGTTACCTGATAGGGTATCCCATATGCTTCCAAAATAACCAGATCGGACGCTGTGATGCCATTTTTCAGATTGAAATTTACATCAACTGGACCGCAGCGGGTGCCGGTCTCGACGGTCTGTGACGCCGAATCCACACTAGCGGGTCGGCTAAAAAAATCGCTATATATGTTAGAAATGAATTCTTTGAACCATGAGATTTTATGACATGGTAATTTACACATTGGTAGCATCGGCGGCGTGGTGGATATTCTGCTCATGATTATCGCCTGGATCTGATCCCGTTGACGGTGGATGTCTTTGATCAGTATGCTCACTTGAGTCACTTGTTTTGCTGGACTGACTAGCGGCACGCTCTTGACGGATGTCTGAAACTACTCATCTGAATAAAAAAGTTTGGCAAAAAGTCTTTGAGATAGTAAAAAAATGCGAAAAAGTGCATTCTATTCCATGGCTTTGGCCAATATTTCACTCATCTCTACCGTACTTCTGTATTTTATTTTTTTCAATGATGATATTGCAGGTGCAAACTTGCAATTTTGAATTACCACCGCTACCGTAATCTCCTGGCCATACTCACAAAATACGAACATTTACAACAATCGCTTCATTTCTTATTTATACTACACAATTATTTTTAGAATACAAAAACCTACGTTCTAGCTCCATTTTCTCAATCTTCAGATCCAAATTTGAATCCAACTTGATGCGGACTCTTTGCTTTGACGATACCGATCCTTGACCTCGATCACCAGAGCTGCTCAATGAGTCGTGTAGCAAGGAGTCGCTGTCTGAAAGGTAAATCATCGAAATTAAAAATTTGGCTTGAAAAGATATCAAGAGTTTTGGATAAGAGTTCTGAAAAATATCAGCATCAACAGTAACCTTCACCTTTCTCATGCTCTCCCGGAGTTGTGGTGGTATTTGACGAAGTCGAGACTCGATCAACGCTTTTCTCGTGGAATAATTGCGGAAGGGGAGCGATTTTATAATTTTGATGCGAGAGAAACAACAACGTCTGATGCACGGCTCGACAAAGTTCCAGCAGATACCTATAATAACTTATTTGAACAAAAAAGAAAAAGCTTTTTAGACAGAAATTGACAAACCTGGCTTTACTTTCGGTCTGCGCATAGAGGCACATTTTCGTTGTATCGGCACCAACGATGGTGAGTTTCTTACGATCGAAAGATAGTCGGGTGACTTTATTCCATGGCAATGATCGCAGAGGTATTCGTTCACCATCATCACCGATGTCACACATTTCTATCCCTCTGTAATCGTGATGAATTGGCGAGGAATCACCAATGACCAATGGGAAAAGCATTCGCGTTATGATATAAGCTTGCTGATGATAATACTATAGCGCAGTCATTTGCAAGCCAAACTCTGTGCGTGAACGAATGGGCTCCGCAACACATTACGCTTTCAAACTGTCAAAACGTTTGTCAACTGTTTTTCTGAAATGAATTTACAAGTTCAACCTTCCACGAAAATTTCTTCTTAAGTCGCACTCTGCCCAACAAAATTTCTTTCGTTTCCCTTCTTCTAGCAAAAGGATGAAGGAAGTTCTAGGCCACTGCAAGAGCCCTATCGCGGCTCTATGATGCGAGCGCCCCTAAAAGTACGGAAGCCGGGAGCATCGGCTGTCACGCTATCCAGCGACGATTACGGTAGTTTCAACGCATTGCCCTAAATGCCTCCGGACCTCTCCCCGTCTTGGCACGTTACGGATAGAGGACATTAGGTCGTCGAAAAGAGCAGTCTCCCAAGCGGACATGTGCAACAAACCTCGCGCCTTCACCATTATTGCCTCATGCTAGCTGTCCGCATGGGTGAAGCCTAGCGGCACCTAATGTCCTCTACCCGCACGTTACCAGCCAAACGGCTTATATAGCGGCGGCGGTGGTGGCACTTCGGTGTCTGTCTGCCTTCGTTTTCAATCAGTATCTTTTCTCGTGTTACCGTTTATGCTCGCGCCTGGCAATTAAGCTCTCGCCTTGGAGATCTCTTTCCTATAGCGGTCGAGTCAATCAAAACTGTTTGGGATTTTTCGGTCCAAGCCAAGAATTTCGAATTATTATAGAACTCTCGAAGCGGAGAGGCGGATCTGTTTGGGTGAAGCCTCGCTAGCGTCACGCATAAGAGTCGCCCATCATCAATAGCACGGGACGGGGCACCTTGCCCAGTGCTCAGTTTCAGTATTTGGTAAATTAGAGTATGTAGTTGTAGCGAATGTAATTTTCTATGTCCTAGGGTAACTGCAGCTGGTTGTTGTCTCATTTGTCGCAAGTTAGACATACCAGTAGGCTAGGTACCTTCAAGAACATCAGCCCTAGCAAATTTTTTCCCCTCTCGAATCAAAGGAAAAGTACATACTTTGCACTTATGCCGAGTACAGCGTTATCTACCGTATCCATCTTGTGCCGTCGTAGACCGTAAAGGTGACAATTCAGCGCAAACGGTGACCTAAAACAAAGTTCGTATAAAAACTGAATTTGAACAGAACTTAACCGTAATTACGGTAGATTAGTGTGATAGCTTACCGGCTAGCTTCAAAGGCGAACTTTATCATAGCGTCTTTTCGACTCATATCTTTGAGGTCTTCCGTAGCCGCGGGCATATATTTTCGAACATATTCTAATCCTCGCAGATCTATTACCCATATAGGGAAATACTGCTCAGCGCGGAAATACCTCAAAGGAACAAATTCAGTTGCTAGAAAAATAGCAAAATTTAGGGACCCACCCGCCAGGATTGTCTCCCTTGTCCACTTTCAATGCTAAAGCAGCCATTTCCCAGCACCTTTCCTCGGAAACGCTATGACGGCTCGCCCATTGGTCGAGAAAATTGTCCTTCAGTTGCAGATAGTAGTGCTCCAACGCTTTTGGACATCTAAAAACACATCTGTGATCTGTGTGGGTCCCGAAAGTTTTCGGTTATGGTCTATCTTGGTCCAGAAACTAGCAAGACCTGGTTGGTCGCAAACGATTTCTCAGTTGTAATTGCCTCTGTCCCGAAACAAATTCTCTCTATGGTCTATGTTGGTCCCACGAATATTGTAAAGCCGGTTGGTCCTACGAAATTCCACTTATGGTTATGTCGGTCTCAAACAGAAACGAATTCTCTATGGTCTGCGTCGGTTCCAAAACTCTCCCTCTCTCACTCTGCTACGTATGGGCTCGAACAAACCTGCACTGCACTTTACATAGGTGTAGTCCCGAAGCAAATTCCCTGGTCCCAAAACAAAAACACACAAGCAAGTTTGTGTTTGTGAAATCAAAAGAGAGAGGGCGGCGATTTTCTTCGCATAGCACGTTTTCTCGTCTCATCTCGTCGCCCCGTTGTTTTGTTAAACAAACAAATCGCCCCGCGCCCCGTCAGGGTTGCCGATTCGATGTGATCAAAACGAGCACCCTGTTATGGGATATAAATCAAAGACCAAGTGGTTTCGATGGCGTTTGAGTCTTGGCAATGTGTCAACAGTAATGACCCCCTGTTTAGCGATCTCCAACTGTGCAATGCAAAAAAATTGTGTGTTTTTTTTTCAACAAAAGAAAAAGAGTAGCTCTGCAGATAGCAGGAGCCAAGCGCTTCTCAGATAGAGATCTCTTCTGGAAAAAAAGTGGAAAAGTTGGAGCTGCTAGAAGTGTTTTCTAGAGCTTGGAAAGTTAGGAGTTATGGTTAGACGCATTGAAGACTGCAATTGAAAAATAGAATATGGAAAAAATATCGTAAGCGATTTTACCAGAACAAGGCAAAAAGCATTTTTTTTATCTTCGCTATTTTCTAAGCGGAGCAAGCAACTACGCACCTCACACTTTTCTGTTTTCTTTAAGTTTTTTATTTTACCTCCTATTTCCAAAAAAACCAAAATCAGTGCCCACATTCTAGGGTGAAACTAATATCGAGTACATGAAAAAACTCTTTAGAACTCACGACAACAGCCGAACTTGATCTATGTACACACGGACTCGAAAGTACAGCACTAGCAGCGGTCGATTCTCTGTACTTCGGTTATGCTGCAAAGAGGTGAATCGATACTGGGTTGCATGAGAAATCGTTTCAGTTGGACAAAAACAGAGAAATGATGATTTTGTAAGAAAAATCAACAGGAAGATAAGAAAGAAAGATAAAGATGATTGAGGATTTCGAGAGAAATAGGAACTTTTATAATGAGTGAGGAAGAGAAAAGATGAGATTTCCAAGGTGGAGAAGTGCGAAAAGAATTAGGATTTTGAGTATGTACAGTCAAATTTAGAGATCTTATTGAGTTACACATCAGTACCTCGGACATTCTCCCTCAAGGATTGTTCAGGAAATTATAGTTGACTTCTACAAAAATTTTCAATAAAGTCACACAATTCAAAAATTCATTTCAGGTTGACTAATTTTTAGAAGAAATCTAATGCAGTAGTTGCTAGATTCTCCAAAATCACCTACTGTTCACAGATATTCTTATGGTTTGTGAAGCAGGTAGCTGTGGTTTTCACTCAGTTTTCGATGTCACTTCCACTTTATCTACTTTTATGATATTCGTTGCATATGTAATAAACAAAATAGAGTCTGTCGTCCTCTCGTAAATTCTTTGTATATCAGTTTATTCCTGGTTCGATATGAGCTGGCGAATGCGTCCACATTTTATTGGCTGTCGTGAATATCAGAATCATCATTTTTAGAATGTGCCGACATCGTCAGCACTTCCTCACAACCGTATCTTTACCCTTACCGAAGTACAGGTCATGTCATAAGCATGAGTTGTGATAACCTATTATGGTACTCTACCACGTCTTCTACCGTTAGCTTTCTTACTGCACTAATACACGTCGCCTGACTCAATAAAGCATAAATATTATATTTATGTGTTCTATATAACACACTTCAAGAGGCGCTATTCCCCTTCAGGCCACAGTAAGTCCCAGGAATACCGATATATAGAACCTGACAAAGGAGAACAAAACTTGTGTATGTTCCATAAACGAAAAATTTGCTGTCATTAGTAGAGGATGGTCATAATTTGCAAGCCTAGCGATAGCATTTCGTCCAACTACTTCTTCTCATCTTCCACTTCTTCACCAGAATAATCTCCGGTATATTCTCCATCCCTCTTGCATTTGCACACCATAGTCACATGGAATGTGTGTGTGCTGACCTTAGCTGCTGTGATTTCTTTGCGAGAGAGCGGGTGGAGAGAAAGAAACGAACGGTCGTCCGCACTACCAGATATAGATAGGCATCGCTCTGTGAGAATGAGACGCAAAACGGAATGGAATGCGAAGAAACGCGCGCTCACCGTGATCTTCGCCAGATAACAGGCACGCACGAAGTGCCGACGCGCTGCGCTGAATCGCGAAGGTCGCGTCAACAAGAGCTGCGAGAGAAGAACTTCAGGAGCAGAAAAATGAATAAGGATGAATAATGACTGCAGGAATATGAGATGAAATAGAATGAAAAAGCGAGCTGAAAACATAGCGTAATTGAAGGAACAAATGAGCAGATGAATGCATGCGTGAAAAATGAATGGATTAATGAATGAATGAATGAATGATAAATGAATGATTATGCAAGGTAAGCTAGAGCGGCCGTTTTTTCAGGCTTCTTCCTAAAAAATGCAGACACGCCGCTCAGAAAACTTCGCAATCTTGTACATAGTCGAGTATTTAACGTAGCGTCCATGCAAATCTTATTATTAGGTTGTCCGAAAATTAATGTCCGTTTTGAATTTCAAGCGCAATAAGTCACACACTTTTCATTCCTGAATAGCTTTCAAGGTCATTCGATAGAGCAAAGCAAGCTCTACAAGGTGGCGGTCTTGCTTTAGCAACAGCTCTGATCCACCTCGAGTTTCCAGCCAAAAACCAAAAAGATTCAACTACCCGAAAATCGAGAAAAATCATAACTCAATTCATGAAATCCTGCAAAAATTCTAACTTGCTCACGTAAATACTATCCACATAAGACATATATGTACGCTATTGCCGTATTTTATCCTCTGCTAGAAATCGAAAAAACGAAAATGTTCATGCTTTTGCCAAAGTGATGCCGTGTCGTCCCCACATAAGTAGATGTGTACTACAAATCCGTAGAAGTACAAACGTAAATTTTCAGCTCTCTACAAGCTTTAGTTCTCGAGAAATATCGAATATAGCTTTCATTAGTCAGGTGGTCCAAACTAAAATTCAAATTTCTCGAGAGCTAAAGCTTGTAAAAAGCTGAAAATCCACGTTTATACTTCTACAGATTTGTAGTATACATCTACTTATGTGGAGACGACACAGCATCACTTTTGCAAAAACTTGAAAATTTTCGTTTTTTCGATTTCTAACAGAGGAAAAAATATGGCAAAGGCGTACATGTATGTCTTATGTGGATCGTGTTTACGTGAGCGAGTTAGAATTTTTGTAGAATTCTTACGAACTGAATTATGGTTTTTCTTGATTTTTTGGGCAGTTGAATCTCTTTAGTTTTTGGCTGGAAACTCGAGGTGGATCAGAGCTGTTGCTAAAGCAAGACCGCCACCTTGTAGAGCTTGCTTTGCTCTATCGAAATGTACCTTGAAAGCTATTCAGAAATGGGAAGTATATGACTTGTTGCGGTTGAAATTCAAAACGGACATTAATTTCCGGACAACCTAATACGAAGTTTCCGCATTTTTTGAAGATTTTCGAAACCGCAGCTTTTTTTCACAGTGACACCACATGCTTGAAGTTTCTATCGTAGTACAGTAATGAACTAGATCGATGCTTTGCCTTATACTGTAAGTTGAACCAGCTCTACATAGCACCTAAAGCTTCTCGACTTCATTACCAGAGAGTCATTAACAATCAAACAGTGGGCACATTTTTTGGGATACCTTGTATATGTATGAATGGAAAAGAATGAATGAATGGGTGAATGAATGGATGAAGGAATGATGAATAAAATAGAATGTCTGAAAGAATGACGAGGAGGCAGGTGAAGTGATATTTGGAGTAAAATGTAAGCTGAATGAGACGAAAAAGAACAGAATGAAGTTGTGAGATGGAATAGTGATGAATAGCTGAAGTGAATGACTAGGTGAAATTAGTTCATGAAATAGAAACTGACTGCAGGAATGGCTGAATGAAAGAGATTGAGTGAATTAATAGGTGAGATGCACAAAATTAGACTGTCTAATGACAATAGAAAGGAAATTATATAAAAAAGAATTACGAAGCCAAATGAGGTGAATGTAAGAAAGAGAGGACAGGTGCACAATGAATGGAACAAAGCGAAATGGATTAGAACCGTCGGATGGATAGTAAGTGAAGGAATAGAATAAAAAAAGGATTAAACACATAAGTAGACAAAACAACTAATGAAGGATTAGATAAAACCCTAATTTTTATAGCGTAGCGGTAAAAGAATGGCTAGATAGAAATGAAGCTTTTCATAAATGATTGAGTCAAGCGAGGATGATTGTAGAATAAAAGTGAAAAGCAACATTCCAATGTTGAATGAACAAGCCAATGAATGAATAGTTTGAGTGAACGATTATGATTGAAGTTAAGTCCATGAAAGTGCATGGATAAAATAAAGGTGAATGGCATGAATGAGTAATGAGATGATGAATGAGCGCACTCGTGAATGATTAATTATACTGAAGTAGATGTTGAATAATTAAAGCAGCCGATGACTTACCCAGTTCGAGAATCGAGGCTGCTTTGGCGCATATTTGACGATCTTCTGCGCCGGGTCGAGAAAAAAATACTCGTGCCGTGGTTGGTCTCCTCCTAAAACAAAAAAGTAATTCAAGAAAATTTCGGATAATTCTTGACCGATATTAGTAGAAAATTCAAGAGCATTTTTGTTAGAGATAGAAAAATTTGTCGAAAAATCAGGACAGAAAGAGATAGAGAAGAGGAAGATGCAGTCACAATTTTTTGGCACAAAAAACGATTTTCTCAATGACTTTGAAGAAAACTTCCTACAGAATGCATGTAGAAAATTCCAAATCACTGTGCAGAATTTTTTTGGCCGTGGTAAGTTCAGCAAACAAATCAGATTGTGACAAAAATCAATCGAGTCAAATGCTCCAAATTCAGAAATTGAGAGTCTACACTTTCCATAAAGCTTATAAACCCCGAAGAACCCTTTTTTAAGTCATTAACAACCTAAGAAGGTAAATGTCACACTTATCAGTCATTATTCGTCAAAAAACCAAAAACTTTTGTGACTTTGTAACGAAATCGCCAAATTCCGAACTGTCAGCATCTGGTTTGCTATCAGCTCGCGAATTTCTCTTCAAAAACCTCTAATCTCCAATAAAGGCCATTTCCTTTTGTCTGCAATCACTTTTGTTCCGGCTTCTTTGGAGACTAATTCTGGATAGAAATTTTGAGGTATCTATCTCAAATTTTACCAAAAAAATTTATTATTATGTTGGCAAAAAAAGTTAAATCGTTTCAGATCTGCCTAAATAATGGAAAAGAGAAAAACGCTCAAGAATACCCAAATATCCCAAGGAAAATCTAGAAGAATTTACCTATTCCCTCCGTCGGTTGACGCAATGCAAGTCCAAACAGTTTGTCTTCGGTGATCTCCAGTATCTCACCACATTTCCACAATACATCATGCACCTTGGTCTTTTGCTAGAAACCAATCGATATATCGATTAGCAAGCAATCAATTCTGTTGAAGCGATGATTAATAGACTTACATTGACGACAATCACTAGATTTTCTTTGGTAAGTGTTTGTACGGTGACATAAGTTTGACCCGGTCGTATATTATGTATTGAGGGGCTGACTACGGCTGGACCTGAAATATTTCAATCAATATGATCTTTTACTAGAAAAATCTTCTTCTCAAGAAACATCTATCAAATTTCTTATTATTACAATATTCACTGGTCGGAAAAGTTTGGCAAACGCAGGAAACAATCGAAAGTTCTTCTAGATCGGAGCTGCTCTATTTTACTCGCAAGACCATAATCTTCTTTTACTTCAAATATGATCAAAGTATTCTACTTTTCTTCTGCACCTTTTAGGATTTTTGACGAAGACACAAACAAAAAAGAATTCTACTCGCTCCGCAATAGGGACTAACTGGGGATGAAGGAGGCAAAATCACGATGTCCTACCTATTTTTACCGTTTAGATCAGTTTTGAGACAGATCAAGCAAATTTAATTGACCAGAAAAACTGATACATTTCAGAATGAAAATTAGATAGAAGAATGGTCTCAAGCAATTGTTTATGAACAAAAATTTTTCATAATATTTTTGGTATCAGAAACTCAAAAAAACAATTCTAAGACGTTCTATCAAATACCCCGCTCACTGTATTTGCGCCACTTCTGCCGGAAAGTGCTAGAAAAAAAAACGTTTCATTTGGTCTCGCTAGCGACACCTGCGCTGTCCAACTTACTCTTTCCATGCTATTTTTGATGCCAAACAAAAACTGCAGTCAGTGAGACTGCAGATCTAATGGTTGGGAAAAATTTCAGACACTTCAGTTATAAGAGGCTATCGTTATCAAAAATAAGGAGGAGAGATAATTTGGCACTCAGGAGAAGCTATATGTCCGAGATGATTGAACGTCAATGCACACTATAAAAGAGGTGAGCATGATTGAGTAAAATTTATGTCACTTAAAAAGTAAGATAGTCAATTCCATAGAGTTTCAAAACCTACGAAGATGTCCAAAAATCAATAGAATTTTGAGAAAACGACATCAAACGGAGATAATATATAAATATATTTAAAAAATATTGATAAAATAACAAAAGACTTAACTAGCTTACCTGAATTACTGGATGATGGTTGTTGTAGGTGAAGTGGCAGGCGTAAACCTGCCGCTGAACGTGAACGGCTCGACCCTGGTGTCGAGCAGGACGATTCCATTACCTGTAATCCATCAATGTGGAAAAATATATACACTTTCGAAGGAAACAGGTAAATTGACACGAATGGCGAGAAAAAGGAAATGGAATTGAAGGAATGTCTCGGAAAAACGATTTGTGAAGAGATTGAAGAATGAGAGGTTGACACAGGGCATTCATTGACAAATTTTCGAAAATTCGTGGAATTTAAAAACATTGGAAAAGGAATCGAGAAAATAAAGTACGCCGATTGGCTTGTCGAGAATGTATTTCATATATTTCATACTGTAAAGATACGGTAGAATACGGTAAAACTAGGAGTACGCTAAGAATTCCATTTACGGGCGTTCATCCAGGAGGAAGACATTTTTGAGCTAGATGTTTCCACTGGATCTATTACCTCTGCGAGAATAAAATAATGTCGCACGCAACGAGTCGACAGGGGCGGGGTTTGTCACCTTTTGGTGCTAAAATAAGGGCGGAGCTTGCCAATTCTACTTTTTATTCGCGCGAATCATTGCAAGAAGCCATTACCTGCGATTCATTATTGATGCCCAAATCCCTCCTTCCGCTCTCCCCCTAACAGCTGACCCTTATCACCTTAGAATCAGCAACAAATACAAAGGTGAAGCGTGTAATATGATACTTCCGTAAAAACATGCTCTTTCTTGCGGAAGCTCTTGAAGAGATAAACACATGCATATTTGCAAATAATCTATGCAAAATTGCAGAAAAAAAATCGAAACCGAAATCAAGCAGTAAGGTTTTTTTAGAGGTTGGTCAACATGATTTTAAAGATAAAAAATTAAGGTGCCATAATAGAAGCCGCAAATGTAATAAGCCCTATCGATAAGAGCAGAGGGAAGTGAGCAAGACTTCTCGGTACTATCCTCAAAGAGACTAGTGCACAAATGATACTATAGGTTTATATCGAGTAGATGAAACGGTAAAAAAGGAAAATTATTTTTGAAAAAAAAGGTTGAACTCCAACGTAAACGAATCGAAAAATATTGGTTATTATTACTGATTACAATTTTTACTATTAAATTCATATCTACAATGATTCTAGAAACCCTAGTGAGGTTAAAAAGGATAAAAGTATTTCAGAACAGGTTTTCAAAAAACTGGAATAATATTTTTCTCAATATTGATTATGTAATTTATTACTATTATCAATTTGTTTCTAAAATATATATATATATATAAAATATATTGTTTTTAAAATGAAATGACAAAATTTATTCAAAAACAATCCTATATTCTACTATGATTCAAATGAATTTCTAAATTTTCAAATTTTACAATGTACGTTTGACCAGGGCAAAAATGTTGATTTCTACAGCGGTCCTACCATATGATGTAAGCTTTACTGCTACTATCTTGAACTCTAAAGATGTGCAATCAAAATTTCCCAAATTTTTCCGCATTTCCAAACATTTCCCCCAAAGTTTGCATGCAATCCTTCAAAGCCAAGTTCACTAAACGATTCTTAAATGATCCCCCCGCTCATTTCGTGAACCGCGTCTATTTAAAGTGTGCAAAAAATGGTTCAAAACCGGACACCGTTATGAATGATGTGAACGCGGGGGAAAATGTAAGTTACTTCGAGTTTGGAAGTGTCTAGCGTCATCGCTATTACTTGTTAGCGGAAATGTTGCGCAATTACGGACCCGACATCAAATCCGCGAAATGAACACGACTTAACAAGAAAAAACGATGAGTCGATGGCGGATAGAACTTGAAGAAACGCGCGTCCCGCAGCGCGCAGTGTCATACTAAGGCCACGCCCACGCTAGCAATAAATCATTTTAGGGTCTGAAGGAATGTGCAAAATTTGCAGTAGTCATGATATCACGCTCGCTCTTTCGCTCTTGCGCTTCCCGAAGCGAAACCGGAAAGATGCCATTTGTCACAGAGATTTTCAATAGTGTTAGGTGTGTAAAGGTAAAATAGTGAGGAATTTGGCGCACAAGCAGTTTCGACACCGGGGGAAAAACCCGCGAAATACTTGAAAATTTCAGAACCAGTCCTTAACACGTGCATGCTATTGTTCGGAGACAAGAACCAACACTGAGAGAACTTTCTGCCTCTAGAAGACGAATTTTACTGGTTTCCTCGTTTTAGGAGAAACGGAAAGTCTGGTAAGCAAAGATTTGCATGGAGGAGATGTATCATAGAAAACGGATTTCAAAAATGAGTAGAACGTGCTAAAAAAATCAACTTTTCGAAAAAATTTTAGTTTTTAACTTTGCCACCAATACTACAAAATATAATTTTCCTACAAGAATGGGAATTTCTTAAAAGATTTGCTTCAACCATTGGGTTTATAAGCAAAGATTCAAATGAGTGTGACAAACGATTTTTGTAGACACCGTACCTCCACGATATTTCACGACATAAATAATTTGCAACTAATCATTCGTAGATTACACATGAAAATGGACGGTATGCATTGCCAAAATGGATCAATATTTTACTCAACAAAAATCAGGACCATCTTATAGGAGGGTCTAAACAGATAGGAGACAATGGCCCTAATGTACATCTACCGTAACCCCATAGTATCCTAGGATAGTTCAGAAGGAAGAGGCCCACTGAGAAAGTGCGAAAATGTTTGCTTTGAAGGGGAGGTGCGGTAAAAACCGAGAGAGTGAAAATGAATAATGAAAAACAGATAGGCGCAGATTAGTGGCGTACTCAAGATTTCCGTTCTTAAAAGGGGCGCACTCCGAAGATTGTTTTGGTATGCTTCCTGGAATTTTTGCGGGCCCACCCGGAATTTAAAAAAAAAGAGAGCGTGGCGGCAGCCGGCGCCCGTTAAAAATCTTTCATAAGGCTAAACTGAATTTTTAAGTAATTCCAAAAAGTATATTAATCATTTACTAGTATGAACAAGTCGCTTGCACATTTTTGCAACTCATATAAGTAACTATCAAAAAGTGTTGCGATCCATTCTCGGGGGAGGGAGTGGGACAAATATATATATCAGCGAGTAGTAAAAATTTATAATGAAATAAATAAGTGCATAAACGACGACCTAAAATTGGAAATGTCAAACATAATTTTCCAAGAGGTACGAATAACAGAACAGCCGAAAAAGTTGATGAAGTAGCTGTTTCATCAATCAGCAAGGACGATGTTCAAAAAAGAACAAAAGGATGGAATTTAGGAAGGCGGCTATGAACATTCATTGCCTGAATCAGCAAGAAATGATGAATGAATAAAAGTGATGTTAAAGTTTTCGGTGAATGATTTACTAAGTGAATAATAATTGTTTTAATGATTATGACATGATTTATGCAGCTGATTGAGCAGAAATCAAGGTCGATTTGAGAGCAAGGGGGGGGGGGGGAAGGGGGAGAGAAGAAAGACAACAGACTGATGAAAGGTAAAAAAAATGATACTTGACTAAATGTGAAAAGGAAATATCCTCTCTAGAGGTCTTGTCAAAAAATTAGAAGACAATGATATAAATTGATATAAGAAGATCGATAGTGATTCAAAATTGTGCAAAAGTACATCTTGAATCACTCAGTAGTAAAGATGCTATCCCAGTGGATAGGGGCAATAAAACCGATTCAGTGAGTGCCAGACTGTACAACAAATCAGCAGAAAAACTGCCGATAACACTGGAATGCACGCGAAAAAACACAAATCAAGCATCAATATTTTCTCCGAGAATAGTGTGTCGAGAGCGTACACAACAGTGAAAAAATGCGGTAAGAAAAAATAGTGTGCATTTCGAGAACATTCCCTCAATAAAAATGTTTTGTTGGGTGCTGGAAAATTGCAGCCACAACGGCGAAGAAATGTGGCGCGCGAACTATCTCACACAGGCTGTACAGTGACACTGTAATAATATTACAACGGAAGAGACCCACACTGTGATGAGAGCGAAGCGCAGCGCGCAGTAGCAGAAAGCCGCGCGCGGCCATGCTCTGTTATACGCGAAATCGCGCAGCGCACTGTCGCGGGCTCGCTGGACCCTTGAAGGACCTTCCAGGATGCAAGCTGCACCTAATATCCATGATAGGATGCACTAGAACTCAAACTGCCGCAAAAACCAGGCGAAGGACCCGTAGGGGCACATTGAGCACATATGGGCGACGCCTTGTGTTCGAGGTGCATACCGTACACTTACAGTAACTCCAGGCAGCCTTGTAATCTCATTTATTACCTACATAAACGACTATTCAGCGATACGAACGGAAATATGACCGTAACTCTCTGAAGACCTTATAGACAGACTTTGTGCTGGACCTGCATATCGCATACCTACCGTAACCCTGCAGAACAAAAGGGGTGTGGTTAAGGGCGGAGTCAGCATGGACTTCTTAGAGGAAGAGGGATCGATTGATTATTTAAGGAAAAGAAGTCTCTCTTCCGGAAATTCTTGACAGGATACACAGGATAGAATCCTGTGAAATTCAACAGGTGAAGAAGGGGCGTGGTCTAGGGCGGAGTTACGGTGACCACTCAGGGAAAGGAGACATTTATTGTCTTAAAATGCACCACCTTAGAAAATATTTTCCGTGGAAATTTTAGGCGAGAGCATTATTCAAAGAAATTCTGGAAGAAATACATAATTCAAGACGAAATCAAAACAAATAAAGCCTAAGAAATGTATGGTACTTAGGAAAACATGCAGATTCTGACAAGACTGATTGCTACTGCTTGCTATTTACGTTGGTATGTTCCTGTTTTGTTGCGCTAGACATTCTCAAGGTAAATAGCAAGTAGTAAACAGAATGTTTGCTAATTTCTGCGCAACCGCGGGCAAAACTGCATAGAAGGCGCCTTACCATCTCGTCTACACTACTGTGGCTGCGATCATATCGCACAGAATGCATCTTGCACGGTCCAAGAAGAAAAACTTCTGCAGTGCTTGCAGTGAAGTGCAGCGCTGACGTCAAAGAGCGAATGTGAGCCCCATGTAAACGATGGGAAAGCCTCTTGCGCTCGATAAAAGTCGAACACCTCATGTGAACGACTTCTGAGCTAGCAAACAGTGAAAGTAAGATGGGAAG